CACCACCATGCCCAGCTAATGTTTTGTATTTTTAGCAGAGACAGGGTTTCACCATGTTGGACAGGCTGGTCTCGAACTCCTGACTTTAGGTAATTCACCCGCCTCAGCCTCCCAAAATGCTGGGATTACAGGTGTGAGCCACCATGCCCAGCCTGAAAACATGGACTTTATTAAAAGCCAGTGAACCATTTGGTGGAGACATCCAGGCAATGAAGACTTAGGTAAGTGACCTCTAAGATTTCCATATCTGAAATAGGTCGATGGGTCACGGGGTCAGGAGTTTGAGACCAGTCTGGCCAACATGGTGAAACCCCATCTCAACTAAAAATACCAAAAATTATCTGGGCGTGGTGACCTGCGCCTATAATCCCAGCTACTCGGGAGACTGAGACTAGAAAATCGCTTGAACCCGGGCGGCAGAGGTTGCAGTGAGCCAAGATGGCGCCACTGAACTCCAGCAACAAAAGTGAAACTCTTCTCGAAAAAACAAAACAAAACAGAAATGTGGGGAAGAAAGTTGGCAAAAGACAGAGACAAACGATCAGAGTGGTAGGGAGAGAATCAGAAGAGACAAGAGCCGTGGAAAGCAAATGAAGGAAAGGGAGGGCAGGTTGTCAATGTTAAATGTGATACAGAAGTTAAAGATGTAGGCGACAGAGGTCAATTGCAAGGCGTTACAGAGCGAGGAGGTGGCAGCAATAACAGTAAAGCAAGGAATGGGCAGAGCAGTAGCAGCAGATTTTCTTTCAGGGAATACTAGGCAAGACTCAAGCATGTTTTTAGAAAAGGAGAATGAGCTGATAGAGAAAAACTAAAAATGTAATTATTTACTTTAAAGAGGCAATACTGGCTGGGCACAGTGGCTCACTCCTGTAATCTCAGCACTTTGGGAGGCTGAGGCGGGTGGATCACTTGAGGCTAGAGTTCGAGACCAGCCCGGCCAACATGGTGTAACTCTGTCTCTACCAAAAATACAAAAATTAACCAGATGTGGTGGGGGTCGCCTGTAATCCCATCTACTAGGGAGGCTGAGGCAAGAGAATT